TTTAATAAAAGCTTTAATAAAATAATAAAAATTAAAACATTAAAACTAAAAATTAAAATTACAATTCGATATTTCGACCTATTAATACGGTCATTTCAAGCAACTTGAAGCTCGAAATATCGAATTGTAATTTTAATTTTTAGTTTTAATGTTTTAATTTTTATTATTTTATTAAAGCTTTTATTAAAATTCGTAATATGATAGCCGCAATAGTTCTTAAATTTTTACCTGTTTTAATAATTGAATGTTTATCAATATTTCCATACTCCACTGTTGTTGGTTGAAAACTTTCTCTAACTAGCTTAAGAAAAAATTCCCTTTGGGAATTTTCATGCTCCTCCGTTTGTTTCAATGATTCTTGCCACGCCTGATTTGCTTCACGCTTTTCTCTCTCAGTCTGTTCATTTTGAAATATCCGTTGACGTTCATATTCTTGTTCGATTTGATATTGAGCTGCTTCATAGGCAGCTCGAGCTTCTCTTGATTCCTTTTCTCGCTCTTCTCTTTTACGTTCCTCTCTCTCTTCTCGCTCAAGCTCTTCGGCTTCTCTCTCCTCTCTTTCTTCCCTTTGTCTTCGTAAACGCTCTTCTTTCTCACACCGTTCATGTTCTTCTCCTCACACCGTGCACGTTCTTCTTTCTTTCTAGTTTCTTCCCGTTCAGGGGCATCTCTTTCCTCTCGTTCTTTTTTTTCTTGCTGCTTTTTTAATTCTTCTTCCTCAATTCTTATTCTTTTTCTTCCATCTTGCAACGTTTGAAGTATACTATCCCATCCTTGATTATTAACAATATCATCAATGGTATTTTGCCATTCTTCTTGTTTATTCTCCTCGTGCATCTCCACTGTACGATTCCGTAAAAACATGGGCATCTTCTAATTTATCTATAACGAAGACGCAGCAAAAACGATGATACGAAGCCTGTTATACTTAGTATACATTTTTTGAAAAAGCATGCTATCGCGTATTAACATATCTGCTAAAGCTAAGAAGAAACCATAATGAATTTACTAAAACTTCATCTCATTTCTTTAATTCCTTTTAGTTTTCAGAATAAAAAGAAACAATGTTTGTGTTCTGCAAAAACAAATAGTACACTATAGATTTCAAAAGTTCTATAGAAAATAAATGAGGATTTTAAAAGCGTTCATGTAGTCAATAGTTGAGGATTTCAATAAGTAAATATCAAAAATAAAAGTTTTGCTCATTTGTCGATTCGCGTAAAATCTGGAAGCTTTTTAAGGAAAGCTTAAAATCCATAACTGAAATTTTAATATAAAAGACAAATGTTTTTATAGAGTTTATAAGAATCGATTCGGTTTTGTTTTAAGTTCTTCTATTTAACTCAAGAGTAAACTGATTTCGAAACTTTCTCAATTCAGCTCATTGAATAATAGTAAGCGATTTTATAATAGCTGTAAAATTTAGAAATTCGTTAAAACCGATTGGTTTCTATAAATTCTGTAAAATATGGATTTCACACTTTCTGTTTAACTACTTCAGTACTTCTTTAGAACGCTGAGCGATTTCATAACAGATTTCCCATAAGTTATGTAATATCTAGAATTCGCACTGTAGCTCAAAACTGATGTTTGTCACCAAAAAAACCAAAAAGTATGTTAAAAACGGTGAAACCATACTGTGAAGAATGGAAATGGATTTTTACAACATCCCACACCCAGAAAATGGATTTCTTTTGACGAATAGAAAAACCAAGATTTGATTGTTATTCTTTTTTTCGGTGATGCTATTTTCGGTCAGCAATGAAACTACTAATTGTCGGTATTTTGAAGTAGCATTTCTTTTTTAGAGAGCATTTCTCGAATCTGCAACTAAACAAAACGTGACCCGAACCCGACTCGAACCGAACGTGAGCTGACCCGAACCGACCCAGATCAATATCTTATACGTTGGCTCGAACCCGACCCGAACGGACCCGAAAATTTTGCAACTATGATCCGAACTAGGCCCGAAACATGAAAACGTTGTCGTACACATTCGCAAAGAAACATTTTTTCCTATAGAAAAATTATCTTAGTCAGATGGTTTTGAAATTTTTTCAAAAAAATGGTCAGATTTCCTACGTTTTTCGTCATTTTTTCCTTTTATGAATGGAAAAGTTTAGGTAATTCAGGCAGCTCATTTTATGTTGACCTGGGTTAGATTGAAACGGGTCAACCAAACCCGACCCGAATCAATATCTTCTACGTTGGCCCCAGCCCGATCCTATCCGTTTCGGTCTCTGACGACTAGCTTGACCATAGTAAGGAACTTTTCAATCTACTTTATCCTTTTCAACCGTAGTGAGTTTCTGTTTGGCACAAGCATATGAATCGAGTTTCTCATTAATTATTTCTGGACGAAATCGTTGGGATAACGATTAGCTCGCGCTAGTTCTCTAATATACTTAAATTCTAAATGCAAGAGTTCATAGGTCGAGGAGATAAGAATTGATCTATAGACCATTGCGCCTATGGCATTCCGTTTATAAATTACATGTCAAAGAGTCACTGATCATTCGAGCTACTTCTCCTACACTCAATGGAACAGATCATTCTATACCTTTGTATGCGTATGCAAATGGACTTCAGTCAAATTTTTGGGATAAAAACTGGATACCACCGAAACGATTTGATACTGTGGTACAGTACAGTTATCTCTCCTAGATCATGTATATGAGGGCAAAACTTCTTTCTTTTTTTCCCTTTTTTTCTTTTGTTCATATCGATTCGAGTTTCAAAATATACAACTTTTAAGCACTGTCATGCGTTGTACGTTAAGAGAAATATAAAGCTATTATACAGTACCTTTATTTTTATTCTTTTCTATTGCTTGTCAGGTCTAGTTTTATCTTATAAAATGTAAGAAAGAAAGGATAAGAAAGAGAATTATTTAATGCTTATATATATGCATGGTTTTTATTTCTACGTGAATGTAACACTTCTGTACAACTACTGAAGATGGCTGTATAAATAGGCCGAAATATTTAAAAAAATTTTATCTTTGTATTTTGGTGAAAATAAAAACAAAAATAAAAATAAAAGAATTCTTTTAATATAATGGCAATTAAGGGTGGTACAGCCACATTAGTATGGAAATTTATCTATCTTATGTTGTCCTTTACACAATCTCATGTTATTGTCTATAGCACTGTTTAGTAGCTAGAATGGAAGCAAAAGACAATTCTAATGTAGAAGAAAGTAAAAATTCTACTGCTTATCGTATAAATTTTACACATTCAGACGACTTATTGCAAGATAATCAATGACGTTTTACCGCTGCTGAACAGTCGCCATATGAAGAAGCAGCCGCATTTGTCTCAAATACGGATGATATCAGTTTACCTTGCTCAACATTTCGTTCATGGACAATTGGCATTTTATTTGTTGTCATCATCAGTGTTGTTAATCAATTTTTTTATTTTTGATCAAATCTATTAGTAATTGGTTCAGTTATTGCACAAATTCTAAGTATGCCAATTGGGAAACTCATGGCACGTTTTCTACCAAAGAGAATATTTCATATTTGGCGAAAACGAAAATGGTCGTTAACATTAAATTCGGGACCTTTCAACATCAAGAAATACACAGTAATCACGGTTATGGCAAATACAGCTGCCACAGGTGTTTCTGCAATGAGTATCGTGGTGATGTTTGAAATAAAGTACCAGAAAACGATGAATTTTGTTACAGCTATACTATTTTTGCTAACAATACAAACGCTAGGATTTGGAATGGCAGGTGATTAGTGAACCTGTGCTCGTCTTCTACAACAAAATCTTGTCCAATAGAAAGTTTTATGTTATTCGTAGAGGCTCTGTAGTTAGAGATTCGTAACGTTGGCACTGACATTTGATCGTTTACGAAAAACTCCTTTCAATTCTACCTAATGGGACTAATCTTCAATGGCGCGTTTCATGATCGAGCACGTACATATTGAAAGTTTATCTTGGAAGCCATCTTTTTTTGTTATTTAAGAATAATGCGACGTTTCTTAGTTTGGCCTAGTGCAATGATTTGGCCTGCTGACCTCGTTACATGTTCATTTTTTCGTGCTCTACATGAAACAAAGGAAGAAGATTTGGAAAATAATTTTTCAAGGTGGAAAATGAGTTGGTTTAAATTATTTTGTATTGTATCTGGTTGTTCATTCTGCTATTATTGGTTTCCTGGTTACATATTTCCGCTGTTGAGTGCATTTTCATTCATTTGTATAATGAAACCGAAGAGTGTTATATTTTCTCAAATAACAGGAGTCAGTGGATTTGGTCTAGGCACAGTTCAGTTTGATTGGAATTCTCTAACTTCATTTTTACATTCTCCAATTATTGTTCCCGGTTGGGCTCATGTTAATATTTTAGTCGGCTTTATCATCATCGGTTGGATTTTATCACCACTTCTGTATTATACTAATTCGTGGGATGGAAAGAAATTTCCTGTCGGCACCCCGGATATTTATAGACCAGATGATACACTTTACGATGTTAGTTTTGTTCTCGATGAGCAATCACGTCTCAATCAAACGGCCTATGAAACATACGGTCATATTCGATTAACGATTCTCTACGCTGTTACTTATGGACCATTTTTTGCTATATTAACAGCTTGTATCATGCACATCACACTATACCATGGTAAAGAAATTATAAGACAGTTGAACACATCACTGGCAGAATCGACGAATGACATACATGCCAAGTTGATGTTGAGATATCCAGAAGCACCCGAATGGTGGTATTCAGTATTGTTCATTGCAAATGTCGTTGTTACATGTTTGATCTGCCATTTTGGTCAACTCATGCCATGATATTACACTTTTGTATGTATAATCATTTCGTTTGCCTTGTTATTACCAACGGGTATTGTACAAGCACTAAGTAACCAACAAGTTTATTTAGGTGTAATTGCCGAATTTATTGCCGGCTTTCTTTTAGTTGGTAATCCAGTAGTCTGTTCTAATATTAGCTTGCTTGTTACTATTTTCTTTTACAAAATTGTGCAAAATTGACATGAATAATATATGAACTGTATCAAATAGGAAACGTTATTTTTAAAACTTATGGTTTTATAACTCAACAACAAGCACTATTATTCATTCAGAATTTGAAACTAGGTCATTATATGAAAATCGCTCCACGTGTTTTGTTTATCTCTCAGATGATTGCTGCTGTAATCAGTTGTTTTCTTAGTTATATAATGTCTATGTACAGTAAACTTCGCCAAAAAAATCTTCCGTTACGTAGAATGACCGCCATACTGATTTTATCGGTATTTATCGATATCAGTGCATCTCTACTAACAGAACTTTCTTGAACCAACCCAGAATCAGTGATACAATAGAAATTCCTTTTTCCAAAATTCATACTTATTTGATTTTATCATATACAATTAGGCAAACAAAAGATTTCAAAACTTGGATCTATTACATTCTAGAGAAGTTCAGTTGTGAGAAAAAGTATTATAAAGTTTTGCTTAAGAAAAATTTAATTTTCTGCTCATCATTGTTCTAACTTTCGTTAAATTTTTTTATTCATTTCCTTATTAGTAAGAACGTAAAAACCAAACACAATGGATTGTTTGAATCGTCAAAAGTTGAAAATCCAAGTAAAAAGCTTTAATTATGAATTTTTTTCCATCGTTAATCAAAAGTGTCTGCTTTACACTAACAACCTGTTTTTTCAACAAATTTTGACTGAGACAGGTTTAAGATTGTTTCTTGAATCAAATCATTTTTTCTTGAAAATTCACAAGTATTACGCTTCTGGCTCGAGCTGTCAATTCTATCGCAAAGCATCTCTTCCAGCTATCTGCTCATGCAATTTTGATTGGTATATTGCCTCTTGAAGATCAGAACGAACCGAATATTTATTAAGTGAAACTCTTGAAATTTTACACATGATTTTACACATTTTACCCATTTATTATACTGGGTGAAAGACATCGGATTATTTTCATGAAACTTTTACTACTTCTTTGGAGCGCTGTAAAGTGAGAGAATGGGTTAAACCATACCACTGGACTTGAAAATTTTCAAGTGCAATTTGATTCCGAGGGAATGCGATATTCGTAATCTGCATGGTCGACTGCGTTTATGTCCGTGATTTTTAGTCCTAGGTATTTCCGAAAATTACGTAGGGTTCAACAAAGTTGACGTATAGCTTTGAGAAAGCAGAATCAAAATGATTGAAGTGAAAACTTAAGAGAGCATTCATCAGCTGATCAAGCAATTTCGCTTTATGTCATAACTTTTCAAAATTTCGATTTCGATGAGAGTCATCTCATTCCATAACAAATCTAAAATAACCGACAAATTACAATTTTAACAACTCTGGTCGTCTTAATCACTGAGTTACGATTATGAGATTATCTTCACCTCGTGTTTTTTAAAAGTATCGGAAATATTTCGACTCAAAAGCTCTTTTTTTCAGGGTTTACTCAGTCTGTCGACCCCTACAACATTGAATAAAAAAATTTAACGAAAGTTAGAACAATGATGAGCAGAAAATTAAATTTTTCTTAAGCAAAACTTTATAATACTTTTTCTCACAACTGAACTTCTCTAGAATGTAATAGATCCAAGTTTTG